AAGAGTGATGAAAGCCCTGGTCGTGAGAGACTGGTAATTACCCAACTCTCTGAGACCTGTAATGAGGTTACAGTGCTGCTCTGCGGGTGTGCAGGGGGGGAATAACCAAATAACCTTATATGTCCTGCTCCCGGGCAAAGGCACATGTAAGTGCGCAAAAATGGAGAAAGGGCCTGTTCCACTGCAGTCATCGGCTGTGCGGGCTAGGGAGGTGCAGGGAATTGGCCAGCCCTTCACCAGACGTTACATTAGGGTTCCTCTACTTGGCCACTTGCCAAGGCAACCTGAAAACGCTGCTCCAGCATTCAGCTCTAACACAGAAGGAGGAATTTTTCCCTTTCCTTTTTTATCTGCTGCAGAGCATAATTCAAAGCTGAGTTAATGAATCATTTCAGTGGGCTTTGGGTGAAGATTTATAATCACAGAACCAGAAAAACGGTCTGGAAAGGAACTTGAAAGATCCTCTAAACTATTCTCGTGTACCAAGCCGGACTGACCTATCTAAAGCTGTTCTTAAAGATCCCCAGTACATATGATGTCTTCTTTTTCTTCCCTCCCCACAAAAGTTGTTATCCTGTTGTAGAAGAAATTGTATTGTCTTTGACAAAGCCATCTGGGAGACAAATAGCAAGCCTGTTGTTTTCCACACGCTAACAGATTGTTTATGTGTTCCAGAATTTTCCTAGAGCTTGAAGTTAAGATTAATTGTTTATATTCTTTCCTTTCTCAAGGCACACACACTGTTTTCTCTTCTCCGGGCTTTTCTCCTGTGAGATGTTGCCTATCAATTCACTGAGTTTACCAAAATCTGTCTTTGCTTAGGAGAAGCCTAAAACCAGGAAAATAGAAACAACAGACTAAGGATCGCAGACTGACAACCAGTACCATCCAAATTGCCCTTGACGTTCATATTCTCAAAAAGCTACACCCGTCAGCTACGGTCCGGTCTAGCAGAGCTTCCCGTCCTGTGGTTGTCATCATCTGCTGTACCGAGGAAGTCGGTAACAGGCCCCACAAAGTCCCTGTGCCAGCGGTACTCCTGCAGTCAGGGGTGCCGGGGCAGCTGTAATCTCCCGCTGCTGTGCACTGGATGATTCTGCTTGGTTTTCCAGCCAGGCATCCTGGAACATGCATGGTAGCGCCCAGTTTTCTTTCATTTTAACAATCAGTCAGATTGCTTAGAAAAGATCCTCCTGCAGCCTCAAAGCAAGTACACGAATCCATGGCACAGAGGGCAACATCTCCTCTTCTCCTGCCTGTTATTCCTGACAAGTTACACACTACTGAATTAGTATTCCAGCCACAGTAATCGTCCAAACAGGTCTCTACTGTGTCACAGGTACAATTTGGATCGTGATTAAAAACTTTCAGCTCCACTTGTTTATTCTCATCATTTCTCACAAAAAAAAACATAGAGAGTTTCACAGGACCAACCCACTTCTTGGTTTTTTGTAATCTTTTTCAAAACCCAAGAAGAGGAGGGCACCACTGACTGGGATTGTGAATATTTCATGTCTTTGCACAATTACTGCCCTTGCTGTTGGGCTTTTTGAGCGGATGGGGTACGTCTCTCTACTTGTGCAAACAATCAACCTACAAAAGGTTTGCCTCATTTGCATATACTAATGTTTGACGTGCGCACGTTGGACTGTTACTTTATTCGTATTGGTTAATTTGACCTTAGGATGCAAACTGTTCAGAGAGAAGCACAGCTGCCTAAATGCCGGGTAGACTCTCAGAAATGCCATCCTTAGTGCGGATACAGACAACCAGTTCCATCAAGGCACAGCCAGCCACAGGTAAGATACTGAAATAAGACCCTTCACAACAAGGCCAAAAAGGAGGAGGCAGAAGCTCACCCATCCCTTCTGCAGACCAAAGAAGCACAAAAGGACTTTATTGAAAAGCCAGTCACCGCCGAGAACGCTCCCTCTGTTTAAGACTTTCTTTTACCAAAGTAGGCCCCTGTGGGTGCTCCTCACCGAGCAGTCCCAGCTTTGCCCTCCGTCCTGGGCTGGACTATGAATCAATAAACAAACGCAAGCCTTCCACAGCCCTTCTCGAAACCGCC